TTTTTTTTTGGAAAAAGTCACTTTGTCTATGTTGCAAAATGATACAGTCACCTCATATTTTTCCGTCGTTTTCCATATTCACCTTACACAATTGCTTAATCTGAGCCAAGTTTCCTAATTTCTAGTAATGGGTGAAGAGAAGTTGCTATCTGGTTTTGAGAAAGGGCAAAATCCTGCAAATGAAAAACAGGGACTGCCAAATCGCTAAATCGCTCAAGATTTAGGCCGATGCCACTCATTTGTCGACAATTTCGTGTCTTTCGTTAACTTTGGGAAGGATAGAAGCAAAAGATTTTGAGGAAAGCGTCGATACGACGAAGTCATGTATTGGAAAATATAAAGTGACTGAGTCTTCGAAGCTCAATGTCCCGAGGTAGGTTCACTATTTCGATAACAACAGAAAAATGAAGGTATTCGTACACCACCAAAAATTTCTTAGCGATGAGATCAAAAAGTCCGATGGAGCCAGCTTTTTTCATTTCCCATCTTCCTCGAATGTTTCCGTATTTTCGAATAAGATGACCTAATACCTTCTTTGCCTTTCGTCGACTTCATGACTTCGAGCTGTTAGTCTCCGCCTGCTATTAGGAAAACTGCTGATATTTTCGATAGGACCCGCTTATAAACCCGAAAAGAATAGAATAAGAACAGAGCTGTCTCAAGTTTTCAAGCGTTTTGGGTCTTATCTCCTTCCACCTGAATTGAAGAAACATACCGATATTATCTTCGGTACTTTCTATATTGCCTGGAGATGTCATGCCAGCTTGAGGAACTCGATAACAAGCTACAACGCCGTCTTCACCTCCCGAAACAAGATGACGTCCAGTGGGCAGAAAGGTAACCGTCGTTACCTCAACAAGCTCAGTACTACAGTACAAACTTAATTCTTCATTGAATATAATTCTGGATTTGACATGTCCAGTAACTCAAAAGCACCACTTACCGCTCCAGCATGAGGACTTGGCAGCCGCTGAAGAGCAGTCGGTTGTTCAATATGCCAAAGTAAAATCTAAAAACCATGTTGAGGGAACAGTGAATTGGTAAAAGAAACAGTGGCATGGAAAAATAATGGTAAAGAAATCATCAGAAGCCAGTGACAATGAATAATCACTTGACCAAAGAAAAAACCCGAAACCATGAAATTTTTTTAGTCGATTCACTTTTTATTTCAATGGTTTATCTGAATTAATTTGAGTTGATTTACATCGAATTGATTCATTCACTGAATCAGTCTGATAATTTGATTTAATTCCGATTGGTAGGCGCAATCAATTCGAATGTGTCAGTAGCACCCACGCACAGATGTTCCATGCGCAATATAATTGCTCTCAAAATTCTACTATCAATATTACTCCAGACGCCATGTCTTAGGTTTTGGAGGAAGGATAATACGATTTTAATAGGGTAGGCACTCGAATATATTCCATTCGAGATTTCAGAATGTTTCTGTAATTTACTTGAAACGAAATTAACTGAGATGCTGACATATTCACCTGTCCATCAAGACTGCTACTGGCAAATCGAGTTCCATCTGCTCGATCATCTACTGTTAGTGATAGCACTGAACTACGATGTCCGCAGTAAACTCTTTCGACCTTCGGCCGCTCGCCTCCACTACAATGGATGACGATAAAAGTTTACCATTAGCTACACTGGACCTTTACCAGTAATGGTAGTGGGGTAACGGAACTTCTCCCCTATCGCGGCATTCTCCCATGCGCCATGCGGCAAATGTCACTGCAATTACCGTACTCACCCCGCCTCCCCCCAATCGATAGGACGCGATATTTTTC